TCAAATGCTCGACTAATACCCGGCTTTTCTCTCATCTGTCCACTTGATCAACGCTCCTTACCACCACTCCATACACCGTAATAGTGTTGAAAGGAGCAGGTATGATGCTATTGGTCAAAGAATGTTGACCACCTGTTCGGGTAAAAGAAGAGCCTGATACTAGGCGGCTAATGAAATGTGTGGAAGAAGGTAAGCGCGGCGGAGCCGCGCAGTATCCTAGGAGGCGCGCGTCAGCCGGCGAAGCCGGCTGGTAAATCAATAAAAGGATAGGAAAGGATAAGTAATCAGTGGAAACACAACAAAAATAAGTTGTATACATTGTTTTGTATGGCAGCCAGTTAACTGTGCCTCCTGGTGTGGATTTCCATTTTTCATACAGTTCTTTGAGTTGCTCTTTTTTCAAAATGCAATCCTTACAAAACATCAGAACTTCCAACAGATGCTCGATGAGGATGAGATGCACACTTTGATTGCGTCACTTTACCACCAGGACTTTGATTCTTGAGTCGGGGAATCAGCTTTTCATGTTTTTTCCACGTCTACTTTGGAAACGCTTATTTCGGGCAAAGTTCATTTGTAAACACAACCTTTCCCCTTCACGTTTGGAAAAATCAGAAAATGATGCAATAAAACACGTTCTGATTCATTTCAATTTTTTTTGGTGCTGCATGCTCCCTAAAAAGTGGTGAAGAATTGCCACTTTTCCAGGAATATGACATTTACTCAGCTAGCGGTCAGGCTCCAAGAGTGGCCTAGGGCTTCTTATATAGCTTTGAGCCTAATCTCATTATTCAGATTTCCTTGACGTCAACCCTTCATCAATTCATCGCAATGCTTCGGCCCCAACATTCCAGTCGAACTCAGCCATTTTGGATCCGTTTGCCGAATTTCTCTCACAGAGTGCGAGTAATCCCGCCAGTACAGAAGGTATCAACCATACGTTCTAATTCTGAGCTCTCCTTGCCACCCTTATTGCAGCATCAGCGGCCAATAGTGTTTCCACGACCCCGAAGCCGTCAAGACCAAATTACAGTCGAACGGCATTTGAGAACCCGCCCAGCAGCACGGCGTCAAGGCCGAAAAAAGCAGCTGATATTTTCGAAGATCTCCTCTCAAACCAGGTATGCTTTCGTGTTGTTTTTCACTTCTGTTACTACATATTTCACAACAGTTTCTGATTATCCAGACCTGCAAGAGGTAAACGGCTAGGGAATACCAAAGCTGAACTTGTGTAAAGAGCTGCGCTGTGAAGACATCAAACACCTACTGTTTGCGCTTCCATTGATCCATTGTTCTTTAAGCGCTTTTCCACTTGTCTGTCCGTGTAACACGACATTTTCCGTTCTCAAAATGCCTTTTAATGCTCCTTACACTAGCGCGATGTAGTTGTTTACACTTGTTACAGCGTAGTTCAAGAGCGTTCGGGACAGGAGGTCGAAAATGCTAGTGTGGAGGGCGTTTGGTCGAGTAGGTAACATATTATAGCTTCGAGCCATTTCGGGCCTCTGAAGAAGACGATAAGGTCGAAACCTTGGGCCAGTAATAGGTTCCAACTAACAACCTCACATAGCAGAAGTGATTAAAATTAAAGCGCTTTATTCTCTCCGCTTATTGCAAAGGGATACCTCATTATGTGACCCTCGCACGGCTTGCTTTAGAAAGAGAAATTAAACGCCATTGTTAGCCTTTTTGATGATATCATTATTTACCTAGACTTAATTCCTCCCGTGCTGTTGAGCACATCGGGCGACGAATTCTTTCCACTGTTGCCGGTCTTTCGCGATTTCTTCGGCCTGGTCCCTAGAAGCATTCATGATTCGCAGATCATTTTCGAATGTTCTCCACGTGTTTCTGGGACGGCCTCGTGCTCGCTTGGCTCCTGGAGGAATCCAGAACATGGCCACTCTTGGGATTCGATGTTGTGGCATGCGCAATATGTGGCCAGCCAGTCGAAGCCTACGCCGTGCCACAATCACGTGAAGGCTGCTCATACCGCACCGTCGTAGAACTTCTTCATTCGTGACCCGGTCCATGTATCGTATCTTCATGATTCGCCGAAGACATCGCTGGTGGAAGGCGTTCATTTTTTCGAACCTTGGCAGACACTTACCATGTTTCGCTTGCATAAAGTGGGCATAACGATGGATGAGTAGAGTTTCATTTTAATGCTACGCGATATTGAAGGACATTTTCCATATCGGCAGCAGTCGTCTGAACACAGCAGCTGCTTTTGCAAGCTGGGCACGGACATCCTTTCAGCATCACCAGTCTGCGTAACGCGTGCGTACGCTACAGTGAACGTGTCGACATTCTCTAGCGACGTAGTGTCGACGTTTACATCCACCTGCCCGTTAATTCCTACGCTGCATGACCTTCGACTTCTCAGCACTTATTCGCAAGCCTACCATGCTTGCTTCCTTGCTGAGTCTCGTGGTGCTGTCTTGAAGTTTATCATTATCCTTAGCAATCAGCGCAATGTCGTCCGCAAAGTCCAGATCTGTGAGACGGCCTTGAACAGGCCAATCGATGCCCGCTTCTGCGTTTCCATCGCTCTTCTCATAACAAAGTCGAGGCATACATTGAACAGATCGGAGACAGAATGCATCCCTGTCGTACTCCAGTGGCAATTTCAAAGAATGGTGTATAGCCGACATTCGTTCTAACACAGCACGAAGAGTTGAGATACAAGTTCCTGAAGATGCTGATGTAGGGCGAAGGTACACCGTATATCTTGAGGATGGCCCAAAGCGATTCGCGGTGTATGCTATCGAATGCTTTTTGAAATCGACAAAATTTATGAAGAGAGGATGACGGAATTCCATGCACTGTTCGATTATGTTGCGTAAAGTGAAAATCTGTTCGCAACACGATCTTCCGCTCCTGAATCCGGCTTGCTCCTCTCTCAGTCGTTCATCGATGGCTCTGCGTAGTCGCCGCAGCAGTAGCGAGATTCCCCTCCAATTTCCACACTCTGTCAGATCCCTTTTTTAGGCAATATTGACGATGACTCCTTTTCTCCAGTCCTCCGGGACTTCTCCACGAGTCCAGCATTCATTGAACAGTCTCGTCAACACGTTTGCCATAGGTCTTCCTCCTGCTTTTATCAACTCCGGTGCTATTTCGTCAAGACCAGGTGCTTCCTTGTTTCGAAGACATTTGATTGCTTGTTCCGTTTCTTCCACTGTTATGGAACTAACGTCGACGTCAAGCTCATCAGAGCCCTCCATCTCTTCAAAACAATGAGTTTCCATTGGTCTCGGCTGGTTGAGGACATCGCGAAAGTGTTCGAGCCATCTTTCGTTCTGCTCCTCATCGCTCAGGAGCAACCTGCCATTGCTATCCTTAATGGCACGTTGGAGTTATTCGAGTTCCCAGTCAATTCACCAATAATGACAAAGAGTTTTTGAGTCCTACGATCCGCCGCATGCAAGGTGCAGGGCTTCAGCACCTTTCTGCGTAAGCCACTCCTTATCGCGGCGACAGAACTTTTCACCATGCGATCCTGCTCAGCGTATTTCCGACTTGCTTCCTGTAGTTCATGGAGAGTCTTAGCTTGTTCCTTTTGGAGCTTTGCGTGCTTCCTCTCGTCTATTTTCTGCCACGTCCTGTCTTGAATAAATTGCTCCTTCCTCTTCCCTCGTTTTCGCCCAACTACTACCTCTTACTTTCCGTATTTTTTTCCTCCAACAGTTTTCCATCGTTCCTCGAATCCAGATTCGATCCATCTTCTAACGGGAGAAACGGTTCCGCAGCTCCACCTTGAATGCTGCCACAGCTGCAGGATTCTTCAGTCTTTCCACTCAAAAGCCCAAGCGATGATAGTCATTCTCTGCCGCTTTAGCTTATTTGATTGCGGCCCTCAGTGGTCTGAGCCAGCATCTGCACCACGATATGCTCGAGCGTCCTGCAAAGATGTTCTCCATTTTCGGCTTATACATATGTGATCAATCTCATTGAACGTCATTCCGTCGGGAGAGCTCCATGTTTTCTTGTGAACCTCTCTATGCTGGAAGTAGGTGTTTCCAATGCGAAGCTCGTTGTGATCGCAGAATGACGCCAAACGTTCGCCGTTGTCGCTGAAACGGTGGAGGACGCAAACGGGCCAATCGTTCTCTCGAATCCCTGTCGTTCGCTGCCCAACTGAGCATTGAAATCGCCCAACACAATCTTGAGGTCTCTGCGGGGTAACTCATCGATGGTGTCTTGAAGCTGCTCGTAAAACTCGTTCTTGGCTTCGTCGTCCTCAGTAGGTGCGTAGACTTGAATGACACTGATGCGAGTATGCCTGCTCAAGAATCGTGCCGTAATTATCCTCTCGCTTACTGGCTTCCATCCGACCAAGGCGTTAGTGGCTCTTCTGCTTAGAACAAATCCAACTCCTTTTCGTGCTTTTCTTCATGGCCGGAATACAACACTGTTTTGTTATCACTCACGATGCGGCCACTGTTCAGCCATCGTACCTCACTTATTCCGAGTATATCCAGTCGATACTTGTCGAATTCTCGAAGAAGTTGTGCGAGGTTGCCAGTTCGATATAACGTGCGCACATTCCAGGTACCAATAAAAGTTTTGTTTTTGGGTGAGAAAACCGAACTTAGAATCAGGGCATCCGTCACGAGGCTAAAATCCGATTTTCTCGATTCAACAGCTTTATCTTTATTCGTCGTTTCTTTAGCAAGTGATTTTTTTCCGTGGAAGGCTTGCTAGCCCTTCGCACCAACCCTTTTTTTCTCATCCGGACTTGGGACCGCAGCGTATGGTATCGTAACCTCTCCATATATTTGTCACTAATCCTACTTGTTAACGTTAATCCATGCCTCACAATCGGTCAAGGTTCGCATTCTGTTCAGACTTCGCGATCGCGCGACTGCGACCGCGCTCCACCGCCAACCGTGATCCGTCCTAAAGAATCTAGAAGAATATGGCTGGAAGAGAAATATAGCAAAACGCAACAATTTAAGAAGCCACCATTCCTAAAACGGTTTCAGAAAACGCAAGGCATGTGGCATAGGAAGGTATCAAAAGACCTTCCGACAATCGCGAAGTATGAGCGCGCAGTTGTGTTACATGTCACTACTTCTGAATACTGTGTCTTCATTATTGAAAAAAAAGTGAAAAACAGATGGCAAAATAGAGACATCGAAACAGAGGGTCGAAAATATACTGTCATCGAGTCTTATGGTGTTCCGTTCCAGGGATTCACAGCAACGTCGAAGAATGTGAATCGAACATTGGGTGATCTGAAAAAGGCCGAAGAGGTAAAGCACATGGACCCAGTAGCGGAAAAGGTGTGTTACAATCAGAAAAAGTGTGAAGCAGCTTAAAACCTATTTTTTCTGTTGCGATTTCAGATTTACAACTGGACAGGCGGTAAGGAACGGAATATAAGAGCTCTTCTTAGCTCATTGAATGATGTCCTCTGGGAGGGAGCAGAGAATTGGCAGCAACCACGAATGGGAGATTTACTGAGTGCATCACAGGTTAGTGTTTCTGCTCGAAGTGAGTGTTGTGCGGCTCTGTGGTGGTTGGCGGATCACTGAAGGTTCGAAAAATGTATAGCAGGAAAGCAACTTGAACTTAAGGTGAAAAGGAGCTACTACAAAGCGTGTCTGGTTGTACATCCCGATAAGCAAGTCGGTGAACCGCATGAGATGTTGGCAAGAGCGATCTTCACTGAGCTGAATGACGCATGGAACGCCTTTGAGCAAGAGGGTAGTAAGTCGCTGTAGATTGAAAATCGTCCGAAACTGAGCATCTGTACAGGGTCAAGCATCCATTGAGGAATTCTCAACAGGGACTCAACAACGTATTACGCTGGCTGGGAAAGGGAGGTCCCACTTGCTAGTCAGTATTCAAAACAGCTGTGACAACGGGATTGCGGGATAGGCGTAAAAGCGAAGATGATGAAGTGAGAGGGTGGATGACTCAATATGGGGCAGCTTGTCCTACTGGGTTGTATAAAAAGTTTCCACGGTTTTTCGCCTCCAGCCAGTTCTAATAACTTGTACCAGAATCGGTTTCGGGCGAAAAAATAGCAACACTCACCCGATTATATCAAGCAATTATACCAGCTCATATTTTTGCCAAGAGAGTTCTCTAATTCGTTGCTTGCGCAAAAAGCTATTTTAATTTGAGAATGAAATATCTGAAGAAATACTCTATGTGGTGCTTTTTTAGTATGAAAAAGGCAAAACCGCTGCAAGAACATCCCAAGAAATCTGTGAAGTGTACGGCGAAAAGGTGTTAGTGAACGAAGGACCTAGGAGTGGTTTGCTAGGTTCTGTTCCTGAAAGTTGGATGGGAAGGGCACGGTCCGCAATGAGGTATAGAAGTTGAAAATATGGCGTCGGAAGGGTGGATCCGCGACTAACAGCCTACTGGTTACGCGGCGAAAAAAAAAGGGAAGGGCGTTGTAGCGCACTATATTCAGAGATGCCTGCTTTTTTCACCGAACCTACCCTCAGACACCGCCTTTAAGGCCCGCCCCTCAGTGAAAAACGAATCAGCAGGAAGAAAAAGCATGACGATCGTCACTTGTACGGTCGTAGAGTTCCTACGGGAGAACCAGCTGTGCACATAAGGGCGTGTGTTGGAGATGGAGTTAATTGGGTACGTACAAACAGGGATAGGAATGGCTGGGGCATGATTGACATGCTTTTTTCTGCTTTCTTCTTCACTGTCGTGTTACTTAGAACCTTTTCGTCTATATGCAAACCCCTAATCCGCTATCTGTGATAGCGAATGATCGCGGGCATGATCATGATCACTGCATTTGAAGATGCATCTATCCCTGGTCAGTCATTGTTCGGTGAGGCTGGAAGGAACTTGGGTTGTATGAGGTTTAGTAACCTGGCGAAACTATCATTTGGTCCTTACAATGATACAGATGGAGTCTGGCTTTTGAGTGGATCAGAATGTCGCAAGGGTGACCCATCTAAAATATCTTCTGAACTAGCGGGTTTTCAGGACAACTGTAGAGCTTATTGAAAAGAGGAAATATGGGCGTTCTGAAGACGTTTCTTGTTTTGCAAAGATTGCGTTTGAAAGAAATTATTCTCGTCTGAAGCATAAAAATACGCTCGCAAATTACCACTATTGCGTCCGTCAACAGTAGAGGCATTGCTTCAACATGCCACCTTCCTTTTTTTCAAAAGTCTCACACCTTAAAAAGCTATCATCCCCAAAAAAAAAGCCACGCGATTTCCACCTAGCCAACAGATCTGCTCCACCGCTAGTTT